CTCGGTGAATTTCAACGGACCCTGTCAGATCAGATCCTCGTCTAACGGGCTTTACTACGGGCCGGTTTTTCCAAAATGAATCAATATTTGTAACACATTTTATGTTCACCATTAATATAGGTTATCAGTTTAATCAAAAACAGAAATAAAGTTGGCGAGGCTCATTCTAAGCTCAGCGTATATGGTGCAGTAATGCACTGAAACAGTAAGACTATATGTGGAAGCGATGTAGTGGCTCTTTAAAATCTTAGCATCTTTTGGACATCTGTAAATGTTTGTGCTGGCGATACAACCTCCTGGCCAATAGAAACAAGGTCTTAAACGACACGTTATTGGAGCATCAATTCGCTGGTAACATTGCATAAATTTTGCGTCGGCTTACCAATTCAACTTCAGTGTTCTACGAACAGTATTGCGAATTGAAAGGGAATATGAAGAAGTCATGCAAAAATAAGAAGGCTTGAAGTTCAAAAGATATAGAGAGTTTCTTGACCAACTCGAATTTGGATTCTAGCCTTTGAATTACCTAATTAGCAGGAATGTCAGAGTGAGATGGAGTAGTTCCCATCATATCCTGGAGTTTCTTGACTTGCATCACCAGCTTTTGATTCGACATTTCCAGTTGTCTTAGGCGACCTGAAAAGATATGCAGATGTGACAAAGAGAAAAGGAGATGCTTCATGACAACCTGTAAAGGAAACCAATGCTGTGAACTGAAGTATCTTGAACGGTGTAAAGCAACGATTTGATGAATAAGTCAGGAATAAATCAATTGTAACGAATCATCCGACAGCAATTATAAGATACAACCTACTTTTCAGATGTGTATTCTCATTGAAGTAAGCCTGACATCGAGCTTCAAGCGTATCCATGTACTCTTTTCGCTTGCGACGTGACTCTTGGGCAGACAGCTGCAATAATTGAAGCTGTGTTACGCGAAGAAACAAGCATTTCAGCCATGTGATTGAAAACTTCAATTACGAACATGCGTGCACTGCAGTTTCCAATCAGCAAACTTAACTATTGATTGCAAATGGGCTTAGATGATGAGTGAATAGGTGTGGCTCTTCTAGTTCAGTACCATCAAATTTTCAACAGCAAATTTCAAATCGATTAAAAGTAAAAATTCACCTTATTCTTTATTTTCCTTCTCACAATTTTCAGCGACTCTTCTTCAGCTTTTGAAAGTGGAAGACGTGTAGGGATCTTCAATGTTTTAAAATCAAAATCAAATGAAAACCGACAAAACGATGATGTTTTACCAAAGTGCACAGGTCCTGATATAATATGCTTTGATATACCATAGAAATGCCCCAAAAAAACTTACCGGATATCCTTCTTGGATAAGAGTTCTTTTCTCTTCAGGGGTGAGTTGGACTGGACCTTGACTACGAGGATCCTGCAAGACATGCGATTATCTACATCAAGTCTGCCTAAGCAAGATTTCTTACAGCTTAAATATATGACTTTGGTTGATGTGGTATCAAGGAGCAGTATGTTTGTCTCTGTGGCTCTGACTGACCAAAGCTTTAGTTAAGAAAGAAAACCCTAACATTCTAGTGACAAATGACAGGAGAAGAATTATGCAAAGTAAAGGTTTGTAAATAAAGGGGGCCCTGATTATGTGCCCATAGGTTATCGTTAATAAACTTTAGTACATAGTGATGATCATCTTCAACTTGAATTTAAATTTGCAATCACTTTTTTTTAAACTCACGGTAGGATTTAGAACGGTACAAAGCTGCCGTGCTTTAGCGCTTGCTTTGAGAACTATGACTCGTGATTTTGCTGGGTTGTCGGCAATTTCGTGCCGTTTGTTTTGAACCGGAAAAAGTCGGGCGATTTGATAGCGTACTGTATATCGTTCAAAAGTGGAATCCTCCCTCCAAAGAATAATTGCTTTGCTTTTCTAAGGAGTTCGGTTTTTCAAAGTAGAAGTGATTGGAGATGTATTTCCAGAGGGTCATGAGAAAGCTCAACCTACAGCTTAATTTTCTAGATCGTGAGAAAGCTGACATAACAATGCTAACACCGGGGTAATTGGCAATGCTGATCACGAAGGTCAAGCTATTCCGCACGGCACCAATTTACGTAGAAGTGGTGAGG